TGTGTGTGTATATAAAAAACAGAGGGTACTATGGGTAAATTGTCACCATTTTATATTTTTAATTTCATGCATGTGCATTGTTCTTTTTATTTTATTTTGTTGACTGCACTGTATAGTAAGGTCAGTTGGGCACTGTCTGTGAGAAGAAGAGTACCATGACACAATTCACCAGAAATTTGGAAATGCCCTTCTGTACTGCTTGCCTACATCAAGTGCTTTGAGGAGATAGTGCTGACCTGAATCAAGAGGCTGTCTGCTGGAAGACCCTATGTCTGGCAATCATGCCACATAAGCAGGAAAACCGAGTCATAGCTGTCAGACAATTTCTGTGACCACATCACCCCTTACATCTGGCCACCTAATTCCCCAGACTGCAACCCCCACTTGATTATTATGTATAAGGAGCAGTTAAGTGAGAGACCAACAAAACTCCTAGTAACACCAAAGATGAACTAATGGCAAGGATTATAACAGCATTCATCAACTAAAATAAGGAAACCATCCAGAAGAGATGCAAGAGATTCCGAAGTCGTCTGGAGGTTGTTGTTGAAACCAATGGCGATTTTATTGAATAAATTCACTTTTTAGTATTTCAAGATATTTTTGTGTAATTTTGGTAAATATATCTGTTAAAATGAGATGTCAGTATTATTTTAATTTTTGCATAATTTAGACGGCAATTTATTCATCACACCCCCTGTGTGTGTGTGTGTGTGTGTGTGTATATATATATATATATATATATATATATATATATATATATATATACACACAAAGAGAAAGACAGATTTTTTTTTTTTCAAGCCAATAATGCCACTAAGATGCAAGGGGTTACTGGGAATGAAAGAGGATGAGAAAAATTTAGGAGCCTGAAACCCAGTCCTAAACAAGAAACAATAGATAAACTTCTACTATATATATATATATATATATATATATATATATATATAAAATATATATTATTTAGTCTTGTGTCTGCTGCGCTGACACCTAAACACAGTTATTAGTTGAATTTTAATCTGAAACTTTGACTATATAATAATTTTCAATCTATGTGTTTATTATGTTCAACACTGAAGTAAGTGCATTGACAAGAAAAGAGCTTATGTTGAAAAATAAATTATTTTTTTATCATCAGTCCATAATCTATAAAGACAAATTAGAAAACTTTTACTATCGTAGCACCATTCTGAATATCAGCTGGTGTCCTTGCTAGCTCACCATATGATAATGGCCTTTCCAAAATGATGCCATAACAACAGCATTTCTTTCATCTTAATTTCAATTATCATTGAAACTAATCAAACCATCATTTAACACCCTTTAGTAAATAACACAGACTAAAAAAAAAATAAGCTCAGCAAGATTCAAATTCACATGCCTTTTACTTAGGGAAACCTATGTATGCCAGTTGTGCTAATATTTAAGCTACTGGTACCAATGGTTGTAGAACATTACATCAAACCATATAAATACCTTCACCTTTTATTTTTCACTGATCACTTGGCAGTGCTATATTTGATGCTATCATATACTATGATAATATTCTAAATAAATTTCACCAGTAGAAGCAGAATTCCCAACTATTATTAACCCCTTAATGCCTACTATAAGATCCAGTATTAATCATAAAAATTAAAATAAAAACCTGATATTAATTATAGGCGTGAAAAAAAAAATCAGTATTAATTATAGGTTTATAAAAATCTGGTATTAATTATATGTTTCTATCTATAACTTATTAATGCCTTCCAACACATTTTGGGGATGGTAAACATTAATGGTACAAAAAATGACCAAAATAGTTACCAGCTCCTGGTTTCAAGAACACCCAACACATTCATGAATATGGAGAAGTATGGAGGAGACACAAAAAAACAGATTTATTACATAACTATCAACAAAATAGAGAAATTTCTCTGCTTTCTATCATCATAGTTGATGCTCAACTTCAGGAGAGCATCTCTCTGCATCTTCTTGGTCTTACATGTGGAACAACTACATTGAATCAATAACTGTTTCTACCACAAGGAAAGTTGGTTCTCTGTGTTGTGGCAGAAGGTTTTTCTCATTTGAGTCCATTCTTCACATCTACAAATCTGCCATTCATCCATGCATTGAATACTCTTGCCATATATGGTCTGGTGCCCATGCTCTTCATCTCAAGGTTCTTGACAAAATTCAAAGATGGATTTGCAATGTGATCAGTCCTGATTTAACATCTTGATTCCAGTTACTTTCTCACAGATGTGATGTGGCTTCCCTCTGTCTTTTCTACAAATATTTTCATGGCAACTTCTCTGACAAACTATTCATACTGGTGCCCCAACTGTATGAATTTAAGCATGCTACTAGGTTGGCATCTCAGTCCCACCCTTTTACTATTGAAACAGTTAAATGTAACTTCTGCCTCTTCTACTCCAACAACTTCTCTCACACTTCCCGACAGTGGAACTCCCTTCCTCTTACTTGCTTCCCTGATAGCTATAATCATCAAAAATTTACATGTAATGTCAACTGATATCTTTCAATGTCTTGATCCCCATTTTTCTTTTTATCTTTTCTTCAATCCCCACTATACCCAGTCTTACTTTCACTCTGTAACCCCTTACATACTAGTGGCACTCCTGCCTTGCTTGAGATGAAATGAAATGCTTAAAAAATGTTCAGAAGTACAATATTATACTGTAGAACCAATTCAACTTTCCCATTATAGTAAAATTATGGAAATTAAAGAAGACCAAAACAACATCTAAGCTGCAACACTACAGACTCCTGAATGATCCAGTTGCAAGGAAATATATACAGAGTTAAAAACTGTTGTATTGTGTTGTTCTGTGACATGTGATCAGTAGTTAACGTCTTGCCTGTCTCTTGATTTACTATAAACTTTATATCTTTTCTACTAATCATATGCAAATAGGTACAATCCTATTTACCAATCCACTACAAAATCAAATCTAACTGGAGCAAGACTAAAAATTAAAAATGAAACACATTAAGAGAAACACTAGTGACATCAGTGAATGAGATCATCCCAAGGAAAATGTGACAAGAGAAAAAAAAGTGGATGACCGATGAAATTATTAATATAATGAAAGAGAGACAATGAAAAATGTCAAGGAATGGCATAGAACACTAAATACATCAATTAGAAAGAAATATAGGCAGATAAAAAAAGGAATGGATCAATGAAAAGTGCATGGAAATAGAAATAATGAGTATCATAGATAAGGCAAGTATGCACAAAAGAAATTAACAGGACTGAACTATTTCACAATGAAAGCGAGAAAACCTGCAATACCCAAAGGTATAGAAATACCGAAAATATTAAAGTCTGAAGCAACATCAGCCATAGACAAGATGAACAGAAACAAAGCATCAGGACCAGATGGGACTGTAATAGAAATGCTCTCAGCCTTACACAATTTCAACATCGACAAGATCATAAAAATAATAAATTAAATATACAACACTACTGAGATACCGGCAAATATTAATAGATCTATCTTTGGAGCTCTATCTTTGCAGCCCTACCAAAGAAACCAGATGAAAATGAAAGTGAGCTCTATCAAACAAGCAGTCACTTAACCAAGGAAATAATCCAAATTCTGACAAATAGTTTGAAAAGAAGAATTAAACCAGACACATTAAGAACAGTGCAATTTTGTCAAGGACAGTGAAACAAGGAATGCTATATTTCTGATCAGAATGATATCAGAGAGAGCAATACAAATGTAGAAAATTGTACATTTATGCTGCATAAATTATGCAAAAAACATTTGATAAGACACAAAGATCTATTTAAACTGCTAGGGAAATTCGATCTATTTAGGAAAGATGTTAGAATAATCCAGAACTTATATTGGAAGCAAACCACCTGCATGCGGATATAAAATAAATTGAGTAAGCCTACAAAAATAGAGAAGACATGAGACAAGGACGTGTCTTCTCACCAGATATATTCAACCTCTACAGCAAGGCTACCTCAAGGGAGCTGGTGACCCTACCAGAATTTATTATTGGTATGTGCAATCACATTGATGGCAGACACAGAAGGAAAACTATACGACTTCCTACACAAGGCCGTCCTGGGTATGAAGATACATCTGGCAACAAGGCCTCTGATCAGGAGATCTTGAGGAGCATGGAACCACTTCTCAATTGCTATTCCCAGATCCACTCTAACCTGAGGTGGTAGCACCTGTTAGGTGCCCAGCTATGGGCAAATAGTTAACCGCCAAACTGGCGTTAACACTACAAAAGTATAAAAAAAAGTTTCAGATTACAATCAACCCCATAAAAATTTACCCTTGTCTACATTAAAATTTTATGAAAAATAACCTATTAATTGTTTTCAACTTTGGCACAGCCATGTGAATAAAATGAAAAGGGAAAATTATCTTAGCTAACAAATTTCATCCTCTGATGGGCTTTAACAAAGCAAATGTAAAAATTTTATTTTGCAACAAGTATTTGTAAATAATCAAAAATGTTGCTAGTTTTACAGAATATCAAATTTAAGAACACTTATAAATATACATCAAGCTAAGTTAACAGTCAAGGTAAATTATGGAGGATGCTAATTGATGTAATTTAATGTCTAATAAACAAAAATGAGTAAATGTTTTTATTGTAAATTTTTTTTTATGTGATTATTATTTATATTATTTTAGTTTGAGAAATTAATTTATATATTATACATTTTAAATAATAGAATCTTTGAATTTAAATGTTTTCTTTCAATTTTTTAAAATTTTTATAATCATGTATGTTGGCATGGGAAAAGAGTATTTCTTTTAGGAAAGGAAATATTTGAAAAAAATCCTTATATTTTGGTAAGATTCAATACCAGTAGTCTCAAAGATTTTCCATCTAAGTAAGTTACTTTCTCTTTTAATAAGTGTAGCATTCTATGTATAATCTATATGTAGGCAAAAAGAGAAATTTAATCCTATACTTTGAATAGAAAATATATTAAATTGTATTGCTATACTTACACCTCGATCAGTCAAATGTCCACGGAAATTTTCATCCACTATCCAACCTCCTTCCCATTCCCAGTACTGGGAAGGCAACTGAAAACTTTCTTTTGGGTAGTATCCTTCTCCATTTTCATCACTCCAATTCTTGCGATCAGTGGGAAGCAAGTTTTTTCCAGAAAAGCCATTAACAGGAGTCCATCTCTAAAAAGTAAGCAAACAAAGATTAATTACATTTAACAATATACAGAAACAAAATGAAAGTAATTAGACACTATAATTTTACTCAAATATGACATTTAATAGCAAATATGCTCATTGACAATTTACTATAAAAACACATAAATAACTGTGGGTTGAAAACTTCATAGTCTGACTATGAAGGAGTGATGCTAGAGCTGTGAGATTTTGCATGCATTAATTTCAACTCTTATTTTTAATAACTGCATTGTTTTTTTCAATATAAACTGACATTTGAATATTCAAAGAAGATTTCAAAAGTAACTATGAGCAACATCTCTTGAAAATGGACAAAATTCAGTATTGTGCTTTTATCAAGTACCTGCAGAAAAAGGGTTTAGCCCCCAAGTACATTCATACTGACATGGTTGTTACATTAGGGGATGATGCTCCAGCTTTATCAACAGTGCAAAAGTGGACAGCTGAATTTAGGAGGGGAAGGGAGACTTGAAGATGACCCATGATCTGGACATCCTGCAACTGCTACCACCAAGGAAAAAGTGATTGTGATGGATTACAGGAATTATACTATAAATAAAATAGCCAATGCTATTAGCATATCCCGTGAGAGAGTTGAGAATATTCTGCACAGTGAACTTGGCATGACAAAGTGTTCTAGGTTGTGGGATCAGGTTGAGATCATAGACAAAGAACATCATTGGAAAATTTGTAAACTTAAGGAATTGGCACATATGCTAGGCCACAAAAATTTCCTGAGCTGAATATGCATAGAAATGAATACAATATGGGAACCAGTAATAAGGAGTGCCAGAGAAAAGTGATAACAACAAAAATTGCAATATGAGCTCTGATAAAAAACATCCAATGATAACAGCAAAAATTGCAATATGAACACTGGTAAAAAATGGTTGCTGAAGGCATTAGGTTTATAATACCCAGAAATTCATACACAGATGTCCTCAAGGACACATGGCACAGTGGATAAAGGCGTTAGTGAGATCCAGTGACAGGACCCAAAGAGTGTGAGTTCAATAACCTGGTTAAGGCGGTGGAGAACTTTGAGAGGGAAAGTAACAGGAGATAACTAATAACTGACATCCATTAGACATGGCACATGGAACTAGAACAGTCTACCCCAGTGAGCGAAATAAAGGGTTCAGTTTGACATTCCAACCACCTGAAGAAGGCTGGAGCGTACAACAGCTGAAATGTTATGATAAATATGGCGATAAATATGTCTCAGAAATATAGACAGCTACAAAGGTTTCTGCTCAGTGAGTACTACATCATCAAAAGCACATATGCTGATCACATCATAGGAAAATCTGATAATGAGGCAGATCCAGCTGGTTTCTTTGAATATTTCCTAACTCAGGATGAGTGTTAGGTTCATCACTTTGAGCCAGAGACAAAGAGACAATCCATGCAGTGGAAACACTCCTCACCTGCTCCAAAGAAGGCTAAGGCTGTTTCATCTACAGGGAAGGTGATGGCCTCAATTTTTTGGGATGCAAAAAGCATTATGTTTATTGACTATCTTCAAAATGGTCACACCATTAATGGAGACTACTATGCCAACTTCCTGAGGCAGTTATGAAAGGCTATAAAGATCAAACACCTAGGAAAACTGATGAAAGTGGTCTTGTTTCAACAGGACAATACTCTAGCACAAGTCCTCGCTTTCAATGACAGCTGTGCATGACTGTGGCTTTGAACTGGTTGATCAACCTCCTTTATTCTCCTGATTTAGCTATCATCTGTTCTTCAACATAAAAAATTTTTGACAGTACAGTCAGAAAAAAAAACCCCACTCCAGTCAGCATTCAACAGAGAAAATGATGGCCAACTGATATGGTAAACAGACTCTTGGTGTCTTTGTATAAGGTCATCATTTCAGATGCCCTCATTTGTTCTAATTTCAAACAGTAGATGAATATAGGAATATCTGGAATTTTGTTTGAACTGCCTTCAGTGCACTATCAAAAATAAAAGATTTTTACTTATGGCAGGGACTAAATTGGTGCGTTGGCCATTCAAAGCTTAAGATTTGGAGGAATATAAATTCAGGAAAATATATCTATTCTGCATGAAAATTTGTTTGTATACTCTCTGATAATTATTTGGACAAAAACAGCATCTACTTATAAAGGATGGAATTCAGTGTCATGCAGCAAAAAAAGAACCAAGAATGTTAAAAAACAAAATGGGCTTGTATGCAGACATTTGGTATTTTTGAAACATTCCCAAATGATATGTGCTATATCTAGACTGAAAGTGAACGGTCCCAGGATTTCAGAACTGATCTAACTTTGTCCTAACTCCCAACTATTTGTCAAGTTATGATCATCTGAAAATAAAACTCACACACGTTTAATCATTTACCTTTATAAGATAAGGGTTTATGGCCATATCATATTAAAACACCAGTTTCTGTACAACCACCAAAGTTAAACAACATCAAGGCTGGTCAGTACCTAGATGAGTGATCACTTGAGAATACCAGGTGATGTAAGCTTGGATGTGCAGTTGGACTAATGAATAATGGCTTGGAATTGTAATTGGAGAGCTGAGTTCCAATTCCAGTTGGGTTTGTTATATTCACTTACGTAGAAATATCCTTGAGAATCCTATGAATCCACCTCTTCTCTCCCCAGCTATGGTTTAATTAGTAAATAAAATCTTACAATCGAAAAATAATTTTCTGGCTTTAAATAACCTGCAAAGTGTGGTTGATAAGCTGAAGAAAATGAATGAATCAATCAATTTAGAAGACCAGTTCTAAATAGTTGCTTTTTCTGCTTCTTTTTGCTCAGAAAGTTATTGGAATCTTGTTGAAATGAATGTTATCAGTGATAGACTGGTTTAACATGAGATTTTTTTTAAAAAAATGACCTATATCAAGTGTATTTTGTGGGTCTACAACACAAAATTCTGTCTAATTAACACAACATTTTGCCATATTTTACCTACTTTTTTTGTCTTTAACTTTGAATAATACCAAAAAAAATGTCTAAGATAAAATTTCTTCCCTTTTTAGTGTATGTTCCCAAAGCTTAAAATAATTGAAATTTGCAAAATTTAAGAAAATAGTTCTCAGGAAGATATTTAAAACATAGCTCCATTCATACATTAAATTGATCATTACCTACTTTTGGCACAATATATCAGTTTTTAACATAAGTTTCCTTGTATTTATCAGGAAACCATGATATGTTCCTGTTGTGGAGTAAATAAGACACCCCTGGTAATATAAATGAACTAGGCAAGACGCCTTAAATAAAGAACTCAGTGTGTCAGAAGTCTGTTGGAGTCAGTCAAGGAGAAAGTATTGATGACCTCACGATGAGTAGCCTAAGTAAGACATAATATTATAAAAACTAGGAGAGAGTTATAACAATGGCAACGAGGGATCAATATTCATAGAGTAAGAAAAAGTACTTTTCACTTCAGTGCACATAACAGTGACAAGAAATTAGAAACACATTGGTTTAATTTATTTTCTTTTGTGTGTCTAAAAAAGTGAAAGCAGGAAAAAAAAACCCAGATATTCTTTAAATATGGAAGAATTATTAGCCCTAGTGGTAAAAATACAACAACAGCAACAAAATGTAATTGAAATAATACAGAAGAAAATTCCACAAATTCTTTCACTCCCAACACAGTGGCAAATGCCATAGCTGAATTCACATACAATTCAGATGTTGGAATTACCTTTTCTGCTTATTTTAGAATATATCTGCAAATTTTCAGAAGAATGCCATGATTGGTAAAATGAAAAAAAAACAAGACTTTTGTTGAGAAAGTTAGCACTGGTAGAACATGAAAAATACTGTAATTTTGTATTACTGAGAAAACCAGGAGAAATTTGCTTTGAAGTAACAGTAAATATTCTAACTAAAATTTTTAGTGAGAAAAGTTTTTTTATTCAGAAGAAAAAAAGAAGATGCTGGAATTGTTGACAAAGTTTGTGAAAGATTCAAATTAAACGAAATGACTCCAGATACGTTTAAAAGGTTAATTTTCATTCAAGGGTTAATGGCAAAAAAAAGACACAGAAATACATGCTAGAATTCTAACAAAACTTGAACAGAATCAAAAACTAACAGTACAAGAAATATCAGACAAATGTTAGAGAATCCTAAATCTGTGATGTGATACAGAAGAAAAAGAATGTGAATGCATACAAGCTAAAGAAAAATGTGAAAAAAGAAAAATTAATCAATGTTTCAGATGTGGAAGATTACATCTTGGAGACGACTGTCCCTTTAAGAATTCAAAGTGTTACAAGTCTGGAAAAGTAGGACATAAAAAGTCACACTCTAAAACTAAAACAAGTTCTCACGGAAAAAATTTTGTACAGTGTTGTGACAGAAAAAATAATTACAGAAAACCAAAGAAAATTTGTATATGCGAAAATTAATAATGTGGATGTAAAAATGCAATTAGACACTGGGAGTGATATCACAATAATCAAAAAAGCAACATGGAAAGCAAATAGAAAACTTATTTTAAAAAGAACTTTGAAAATTGCATGTGGCGTATTGGGTAAATTATTTTTTATTGGTGAAATGACTTGTAACATTTCATTTTGTAACAATTGTGTAAAAGCCAAAGTTTATATGTTAAAATTACTACAAACTTATTCAGTATTGACTGGATAAAATTATTTGAGTTATGGGATTTACCTATAAATATTTATTGCAAAAATTTAAGTGGACAAGTTTAAAAAAAAAAAATGGGTGTAAAAATTTAAAGAAAGAATAGAAAATATGTTTTCCAGATGTTCTGTCGGATGAGTTGTGTTAGTGTTTCAAAATCAAAGCAAAATTTCAAGTGATATTATAACCACTAAATTCATTTTTTGTATTGAAAATCCCACCAGAAGTAGTCTAAATAGATTAAATGCAAAATGTATGCTCTTTTCAGAAATTTTGGCTCTTCACTACTGGCCAGGGTTTCTAGACTTAAACCTCTATTCTTTAATTAAAAATGTGAAAGTTTTGTTTTAATCTTGCACTTAAATGTAAATAACATTAATACAGTTCCATAATTGAGGGAACTAAAAAAAAAATACAAATGTTCAATTGACTATTGTGCAATCCCATTGTCCCCAGTTCTTATTTCTCACTTAAAATGCTAATATAAAAACAATGGCATTTAATTAGAAAAAGTAAGCACTCTTTCTAAACTATTTATTAAAAACACTATCACAGAGTTATATCTTTTTAATCTTCTGGCAATGTTGAAATGTGGCCATTGCTGGAAAACAGAAAACTGACACTTTCCATATTAAATTTTAGAAGTTTTTCAATTTTGAATGATTTTTCAAGCAGTGTTTTTTCAATAACAGAAAATATAGTTTTAATTTATACAAATCATAAATGAAAAAAAAAATGAAAATTATTTGTTTGTTTATACTTTTTGTTATTATTAAAAACTTGGTAGTGTTAAAAATAATTTAAAAGAATTAGAAAAATAATTAATAAATACATGTCTAATTTTGTGCTAAAATAAACATTGAAAGTTGCTGAATTTACAGTTCTTTCAGTTTCAAATTCTGGTTTCTACACCATGAAATTATGATTCAAACTATAGTTTGAAACCAAATTGAAAAACTTTAGTGGAAGATCTACAAACTAAAGACAGATTCTAAACATGCCAAACCATGAGAGTTATTAGTGCCAGATTAAAAAGGTATAACCATTTAATAAAGACCATAATCTTTGTTATTAAAAAAAATTGTAATATGAAATTTATTTAAATATAATATAGTATTTAAAAAGTTTATGATTCAGTAAAATCTAGCTAAAGTGGTATTAAATAAGAACTATCTGACAAGGTACATCAATAATTCCATAATCTAATGATGAAAAACATTTATTTTAAACAAGAAATATTCATTTTTCTACATATCCTTCTTTGTTAATGCACTTAACCCAATGATTTTCCACTAATCACAGAGTGAATATTAAAAATGAAAATTTCATATTGTAATTCAGTTAATAACTACTTAGGTTACATTCTTATTGGTTCTTTATCATATAGTGAAACATAGATGCAATGTACTATTTATTGAGAAAAATGTATTGTATTTTTTAAGAACTGTATAACATAGAATAAAAAAGAAAATTATCAAAATAATTTTTCATAACCTTAATATAAAACTACTCTGTGAAAAAGTGAATAGGATGGAACTTATTCTAAACCTTCATTCTTTAAATTCAAGTTTAATATGTTTACCAGACAACTGTCAACTTGGATGAAATATTTTAGGCAGCAGTCAAACAGATGACAATGAAGAAGATTGAAAAGAATATAAGTGGGCATTGATGCTGCAATGTATGTATCTCGATTTATACTCTCTTAATTCCGGGGATTAACACCAGTAGATGTGACTTGGCTAGGGTTTCATACATTGCAGTTCATTGCTGTTCATTAAAGATAAAAGAATGTTGCAGTTGGTCAAAATTGAGTGGGTAATTGTGTGTGTGTGTGTGTGTGTGTATAAAATGACCCTATTTTATCTCTCAGTAATGTTAGAATTATTTCCAAATCATAAACAATTTTTCCTTTCTTGCTTTTCAATGCCCAATATAGAAACCATGTTTTTGAAACTTGCTAAAACAAATAATAGTTGAAAAAATTGAAAAATTTTTTGTTTAATCATAATTTTTTCCTAAAATACTGGCAAGTTTGATAATTAAAAATATTTTGGGTTCATGCCTTTCTATATTAGAAAATCCTTCAGTTGCTTATTTTATGGTTATTGCAAATTATATGTAATTAGTTGAATACTTAATTATTCTGATAAAGTGGTTAAATAACAACAGTTTGCATTAAGAATTTTTTTTTATAATTATCTGAGTTTACCAACATATAAAGATTTAGACAATTATTAGTAGATAAAGAAGCCTGGACAAACTTGAACTTTCTTGCAAAAAAACTGAGTGTCAAAAGAACGGTTTTCCTGTTGATGCCACTATTATTTTAATTATCTTCACTCCTTGGCAATATTTATTGTATTAAAAATGATGATTAGAATTATAATAAAACCTAAATACATGATGAAAGTGAATTTATACATTTCTTCTCTTCTTGAGAAGTGACAACATAAATAATAAACACTATTTATTTATTAGATTGTTTATTTACAAGAATACAGATTGTATATATTCAAATTTTTGTAATCAGATTTTTGAATCCATAAGATCTGGGAGAGATTTTAAGGCCATTATTATTGATCTGCTATCAGATGAGGTAATCTTCAAACCTTTATAATTAATAGATTTTTTCATAAAAATTTTACACATATGTAAACATTATATTGAAGATTGTTACAGTTAGTAGTTAAAATCAATTATTTAATATGTAAACACACAGACACATGACTAGCAGGTCTGACAAAAATTGCATTCATTAAATTGTTTTCCAAAAAATGATGAAATAGTCTAGATTTATCTAAAAAGGGGCCAGTTGAGTTTAAAAAAATGACTGTGTCTGTTTTTCTGGTCATAAAATCCAATTCATTTCTTACATGCATCTTAATTTTATTACCTTTTCTACTCATTCTCCTCTTTGTCTCTTAAAAAGCTAGAAGAAGTGTACATCATGCATTCTATTGTGATAAAGTAACCAACTGAGAATATCAGGTAGATTATTGCGTTTATATATGGCCTGAAGATTGCCTTTAAGCATGAAACATACTGTCACCACAGGGTGTTGACTTCAATGTCCACTTTTATATTTACATATGCTTTATATCTGATATTGAACACTTTTACCCATAAAATATAGCATACCTTCAAACTATATTTTTATATATATATATATATATATATATATATATATATATATATATATATATATATATATATATACACACATTTATATATGATAAAAAAAATGTAGTTTGAAGTTATAATATATTTATGGGTAAAAACACTATCCTTGATATTGAGCACATTTAAATATAAAGCTGAACTCTGAAGTCAACACCAAGCAGTGACAGTCTTCAGGCCATGAAGTCTTGAACACAGTCTTCAGGCCATGTTTGATGTGCTTTGGCTCAACTATTTATTTATGCTGGTCAATGGAGAATTATGGGTACTAGGTCTTTTTTATTATCCTAACACTTATTGGGTAATAGTTATATTCCAAATTATTCAAGAGGCTACTAAGTAGAAATAATTGTGAATCCAAATGTGGTTGTTAGTTATTGTATAGTATTGTGTTAATTATATATATATATATATATATATATATATATATATATATATATATATATATATATATATATTTATTTATTATGAGTGTTACATTAGAACATGTACATACCCACTACAAAACACATCATGATTCTCCACCTGATGAAACGTTAAAAAAGATTTTTTAATGTTGAAACAAGATGTACAGTTTTGTAGTGGGTATGTACATGTTCTAATGTAACACTGCATAATAAATAAATATATGGCTCTACTTTTGTACTGAGCTCTGTTTTAAATTAATGTTTTGAATGCTGACATCTTACTCTTCATTCTTTTACATTTGTATAATATATATATATATATATATATATATATATATATATATATATATATATACATACATGAATTATTCACACAAAAACTAATGCAAAGGTTAATGATTTAAATGGCGAGACATCCATCATCGCAAACAATTCAAATAATATACAAAAACCTCCGTATCCGTTATGAATGAAATGATCCTTGTTTATATAAATTTCTGCCGTATTAGTTCTTATTTTACTACAAGCTTTCGTCTGTTCCTACAGACATCTTCAGGTATAGAATAGATGTTGTTCTTGTTTTTTCTCTTAGTAATAAGAGGACAACTAAAATATATGTATTGTTGTATCCGAAAATGCTATTGAAAATGAGTTATTGTTTTTGAACGCGTAAAAGTACCAGTAAAAAATTTGTTCATCACCATATTATGAATGCACAACCTTTAAAAATTTAAAATCAAACATAGCGTTAAATCTATAATATATATATATGGTGTACTTTGATAGAAAATTTTTAATTTATCTAAGTTATGGTTAAAAACCAAAAGTTCTTTGTTATAGATATTTTTTTGTTTGGACCATTTTTCTGGTTTCTGGTACATATTTAAATATAAATTGTCCAATGTCTTGGTACTTTTGGCTTTCATAAGCTATTGTTAAAAAGTTTAAATGTTTGTTTTTGACAGTTCCATGTTTTTTGCTTTTTTTGGCATTTCTATTTGCTATAAAATACTTTTGGCACGTTTATTTACTATAAAAATACTTTTGTTGCTTTTATTTATTCTAAAAATACTTTATTCCCTAAAAAGGGGGAAATAATGATCAAAAAGTAATAAAGATTTTACCTCATTCTCATAAGTTTTGTCCTGGATCCGGATAGGAATGTCCAAGGGGTAAACATAAACATAAATCTGGTGGTAGCAGCTTAGGCCCCAAGCACAGTCAGGTGTGGCGGAGATTCTTTTGAAGTGTGATGTATATTCAGAACATGACTTATTAACCTGTTGAACATATTTGGCCTTTGTGAATAAGGTGAAGACATTGCCATCCCAGCTGACAAGCCAGAGAGGTGTACCAAGCATTGGCTAATTCCCATTGATCCTGTTAAAATACAAGGAAAAAAAATTATTTAATTTATAAACAAATCTATGAAGCCTGGATGTCTACCTACTTCTTAGCTCTTTATCCTTGCTAAAAAAAATTCATAAATGTTGTTTTATGGCACACCAACATTTCTATAATGGTCATATATCAACAGGAAGTATTTTAATACATCTTTGCATTCAAAAATTCAAAAAGTGTCCAAGGAATTTTTTTAATAAAAATATAAAATGAATAAATAAGACAGTGAATGAATAAACTGATTCCTGAAGAATGGTCATACAGTAGGGTCACCTCACTGTAGGGTAATGGTTAAGGAGATAGTTTAACCCTCACTGTGTGGCCTTGTATCAAACTGATAATCTAATAAATACTGATAATAGATATTTCTACTTTTATTTTGAGTGAACTCAAATAGTAAATTACTCATCAGCTTTTCTTTCCTCATCCAAATTCACCCAATCAATCAGTCTTCTAATTTGTACTGATTCTGTAATATTTTGCAGTTTTCCATAGAGCTTCTGATTTGTTTTCTGCTCTTTCTATGATACACCAAGTATAGTCCTTGGCATCCTTCTATATGTACAGGCATATCAATCATATTCTTTGTTAAAGTTCAGCTTTCAACATTGTAGAGAAGCATGATTTTCATTGCGGATTGAAAGAAACTTATTTTCAGATGATTTTGGAGATCTAACTTTCATAACTTTTCCATTTTGTTTAGGGTATCCTAGGCTTACCAAAGTCTGATCATCATGACCTTTTCAATTGATTGAAGCACTAAGGTACTTAGTAATCTACTTGTTTTAGCTTATTTCCTTCTCGTGTGTTAATTTCACTCGCTGAAAATGGTCAAGTAGTATCAGGTAATATTTGGGTTCATTATAATACAGTTTTTTTTTTAATTTACATATCTAATTATTTTTTCTCAGATTAGTTTTTTTTCTCCTTATAATCAAACAATTTTTATGAAACAGTTTTTGCTGTGCCTCCCCCCAAGTCGTTTTATTATTGACATTTTTTAAATATGATTATCATTTCATCTTCAACAATAAAACAAATTACTAAAATTGCTAATGAATAAAAAAATACTTATGCAAAAAATTTTTTTAATATAAATAATGAAAGTAAATTTGAAGAATATGCAAATAATATAATTTAAGTATTTGATTTCATGAATATTTCAATGTTTGTTCACATAATTGCTATCTGTACTTTCATTACCTAGTGCTAACAAAAAAGATTTTTAAAAAGAACTAAAAATGTCTCAAGGAATACATTTTCCTAACACTCACACTCCTATCAGGTCATCCCATAAGTTCTGTCCGAATTTTAACTTTCTGTTAAAATGAACAAAATTTAAAGAGTATTTTATAATGTCTAATGGAGCTGAACATTATTTTTATGTTTAGATGCATTTAAAATGATCAAATTTTATTTCAGAGAACACTAAAATTAAATTTTGTTTGATTAAAACCCTGCTAACATGGAAGTACCCAAGAATCATTTGAGGCACATAATACTTTATGAGTTCAAGAAAGGAAACTCAGCAGCCAAAGTGGCTAGAAACATTCACTCAGTTTATGGAGAGGAATGTGTGAATGAAAGAACTTGCAGAAGATGGTTTGCAAAATTCAGAGGTGGAGATTTCACCCTTGAAGATGAAGTTCGAACCGGACATCCAGTTGAGTTTGATGAAAAGCTTCTTGAAGCAGCCCTTGAAGAAAATCCTGCTTTATCAGTTGAGGAATTAGCAGTGGTTTTCAGTTCAAACCATACAATCGTCATCTTCAACAACTTGGAAAAGTTCCTAAACTCGGAAAATGGGTGCCTCATGAATTGTCTGAAAACAACCTGAAATCCTGAATTGACATCTGCTCTTCTCTCCATTCTCGCTAACTCGTTTCACCTTTTTTTGGACAGACTTGTGACTGGCGAGGAAAAATGGATCTTTTATTGAAATGTTAAGCGTCGTAGACAGTGGCTTGGTAAAGGGGAAGGACTCCAGCCACAGCCGAGAAGGGAACTTTAAGGGAAAAAGGTTCTTCTTTCAATCTGGTGGGATTGCCAAAGAATAATTCACTTTGAATTCTTACCACCTAATGCAACAATTAATGCTCAAATATACTGTCAGAAATTAGAGCATTTGAACCAAGCTTTGAGGAAAAAAAGACCTGCTCTAGTGAATCGAAAAGAGGTGATGTTTCATCAGGACAATGCGTGACCACACACAGCAAGAATCACATCACAAAAGATCGAAGAACTTGGTTGGGAGAAAATTCCTCATCCACTTTATTCTCCCGATCTTGCTCCTTCAGACTACCATTTGTTTCGTAGCTTACAGAATCATTTGGAAGAAACAGCTTTTGTAACACAGGAAGAGGTTAAAACTGACATTTGTGAGTTCTTCGAATCAAAGCCAAAAGAATTTTACAGTAATGGAATTAGTAAGCTTGTTAATAGATGGAAGGAAGTCATAGATAATCAGGGAAAATACATTGTTGATTGAATCTGTAATTAAATGTAACATTTGGTCACTTGTTTTCTTTATTCAAAATTCGGACAGAACTTATGGGATGACCTGATACATTATTTTAAGACTTGAATTTTTGACTGCAACTATTTTTTCTCTCTACACTTCTATCTTTCTATATAGAAACTGTTAATAAATTCGAATGTTTTCATTATTTTTTCTTTTGAATAGACTGCTCAATTTATCTTTGAAAACATTTGACAATAATCTTACTTACACACTTTTGTTTTAATCATACCAATGCTTGATTTATTTTTACCAAGATAGCATTGAAAAAAGTCACAACTACCTATTTTTAATAAAATGAGTTATATACAACTGCTTCCTTCAATTGATGATTTAAAATGGATTTGTGCAAATAAAGCATGTAACTCTTAACAACCATTCTTCTTCAAACCTTGTGAACTGGCACCACACAATCACTATCAAAGAACTGTACCAAATAACAAAAACAACATCACTTGAGGAATCTCAACAACAGCAACACAACAACTAAAATGGATAGCATATGTAACTTGAAGAGAAAATAATGATATAATCAAGATGTTGACATTCCACACTACTTCAAACAAAAAGTTAGGAAGGAATCCCCCAAAAATGCCGGAAAGAACAATAACAGTTACTGGACTTGAGAAACCTATTTTCCTGAAAAATATTTTAAGAGAAAGATTTTATAAATTTGAACCTAAAGTAATACTAAATGGCCAATGAATACAGAATATTTCCTAAGAAAACAGCTAATAGCATTTTAAAGGTGTGCTCAAAACATGGCTACATAGAAATGTAAAACCACCTCCTTTTTATTGAATCCAAATAGAGAACCTCAAGAAATATCTAGCCATAGCTGGATATATTGCAATGTATAATTGTTATAAATTAGCTGAGATTGAATCATAATTTAGAGGCTTTGGTTCAAAGGTTTACTCAGGTTTTTTTCTGATTAAGATCTCTTTGGCATATATGACTAAAATTTATAAAAAATGTATAAGAAGACTCTTCAGTGCCAATTTCAGGCTGCAATAAGACACACTATCATGTAACTTAACATTATCTAGATTTAAACATTTACAGTAAATGCTGCAAACAGGCATGCTACTTACTGTTTCAGCAGTGCCATTTGTTCTTAATTTTGTTAATCAAATAATTGTCTCTGGTTTAAGCCTACTTGAGGTTATCTTTATCTTGAGTGCCACTGTACATATGTCTATTCAGAGTAATTATAATAAAACATACTATTATATGAATAAAGATAAATAGTATTATATAATGATAAACTTTTTAAGTCTCAAGGCTACAATTTATAATTTGAACTTCAGTAGGTTTTCTTGATTTTTAGCTACATGTACAATCTTTATATAATTAGATATATTTTCTTTAATGCCATGTCATTAGACTTGGTGTACACAAATTACTAGCACAATCAAATACAAAGAGAGTCATAAAATGTATAGAGAATTTATTAGATATATTGAATACTTGAAATAATATAGCATTTAAATGTCATTTTATATGCCTATTATTAATATTATGAGATATTTTTTTGCTAAACTTAAACAATTTTAATAAATAGTAAAACTTACAATAGGCATGATATGAAATTAATGTTTAAATGATATATTATTTCTCATATGAGATATATATAAAACAGTAGATACAAAATCCAAAAAGAGGGAATAGCAACAGCTATTTCTTGTTCAAAGTGACAAGGCTTCACTAGACACCTGATATAAAAGAAAAAAAAAATGGAAAGCAGAAAATGGCAGAACTTAAATACAGTTCCAAGATTGAACCACTTGCTCCTGTTGTTGATTTAAATGCATTTAGCTTCTATGTAGATCTAACAAAATAATAAAAATATAGTTTTATGGTATACTATATTTATGAATAAAAGTGCTTAATATCAAGGATAGAGTTTATATAAATATAAAAGTGGATGTTGAGGTCAACACTCAACAGGAACAGGGCGTTTCATGCTTAAACGCAATTATCAGGTCTGGGTGTTGACTATATATGCGTATATGAAGGCATGGTGGAGTAATGGATAGTGGCTTGAATGGAGGAATTGGAGAGCAGAGTTCGAATTCCAGTAGAGTTTATTACATTCATTTACATTCTAATACTCTTGGGAAAGTTATGAATCCATCTCTTCTCCTTCAGTTCTGGGTAAATAGCAGGACAGTCTGGGTTCTATAGCCTTGGGTGGCAACCAGTCTAGAAGAATGACAACTCTAAATTCAAAACCTGTAGCGGGTCATTTGGGGAAGTTATTGCACACTGTGCACCAGATCTTTGCATTCAGATCTTCCAAAAAGTGTGGTTGCTTCTGAACAAGCCTTCTTCACTAATCAAATGATATGTGCAAGTAGTCTGGCTGTTAGTTCTAAGAACTGAGCTGCTTAACCCTCATTTGTCAAGAATGGGAGAGTTCAGTGCTGTGTGAGTGTGTGAGTGTGTGTATGTGTGTATA